GTCTCCCGGGTGAAACTGAGGCCAATGATAGGACATAACCGAGGCAGAGGTAACTGTTCAGACTTGCGGGGATCTGCCGACTATTCGGCCTATTGTAGAGGGGCAACCGAGCACGGTATTTCCACTGCAAACCGTTTCCGTCCCTTCAAACGTGAACAGTTACAGGCAGAGACCCGTCATTGACAGTTATTGCCGCATGGCATAGTATGTATTGTGAATGCTGGGGTGGCTGAGACACCTCACCCGTTACGAACTGAAGGGCTATGGGCCCGTCAGCACCGGAGGTGGGAAGTGGTTTCGTTGATTACGCTGAACCATAGATGGCAGGGTGACATGGTCGGCCCGGTGGGCGACGCTGCCGCGGCCTGATTCGTTTCCAGCAATCAGAGCCGCCCTGAGGACAGGCAGAGTTGCCGACCGGGCCGCCAACGGCATTCGGGTTTCCCGCCAGGGAACGACCGAGCCGATGCCGTACGTGAGCCAGGCGCCGATGTACAGTCGGCGTTTGGCTCTTTTTATGAGTGATATTGCTGGCATTCGGGGGCAGCTTCCTCCGGCATCACGGCCGCCGGTGAGACTGACCGCCGGAGTTGAAACCTGACCACTGTATAGGGGCCCGCCTGATGGGAAGATGGGCTCAGACCCAGGGCCTACGCTTGGATGTGGCCTTGGCGGATTCACCGTTGGGCAGGCCACGCTGTTCCAGGAGCATGAGGGTCAGGCGGCGGAATTCCTGCCGGTCGTGACCGGTGATGACGGCCTGCTCGTGGGCCTCGGAGATGGCCACCGGGTAGCCCAGACCCAGTTGGCACTGTTTGACCAGCATGGCGTGGCTGAGGGCGAGCAGCTCGGGATCGTTGACCAGCCAGTCGGGGACCTCGACGCCAGCGATCTCGGCGCCGCCGTTGAGGTAGTAGAAGTGGCTCCACTCCTGGCCGGTGGCCAATCCCAGGGCGAAGCGGGCCGCCAGGTGGCTGGAGCGGTACAGGGGCGAACGGTGTCCCGGTCCCAGCACCAGCTCGAACAACTCGCGGTCGTCGAAGCCGGTCGCGTCGTCGCAGGACGCCAGGTCGGAACGGCGGGCGGTGCAGAGACGGTTGCAGTCGCCGTCGCCCCGCTCGCAGAGCATGAGGCGGAGGGCGCCGGCTGCCTCGGTGGTACGGGGGTCGTGACGTGTAGGCGGCCACGGCCACCGGACGGCCTTCCTGGGAAGCGTCACGCAGGCGGGCCAGGGCGGGCTGGAGGCGTTCTGTGATGAGCACGTCGGCGACGTAGCGGGGATAGTTGCCCCGCTGCAGGTCCCAGAAGGCCAGGGTGCCGTCCAGCAGGGCCAACGCCGGTTTGTCGTCGGGCAGGTTCTCCACGGCGTCGGCCAGGCGCTCGACCTCTCGCACGGTGCGCAGCGCGCTGAGCAGCGGGCCGGAGATCAGGGTTTCGCCGCGCGCGCCGTCGGCAGAACGGAGGTATAAATCTCGTCCGCCACGGCCAGGGTCGGCTCGCTGAACAGTTGGCAGCCGTAGCTGTTACCGCCGATATTAAAATGTGCAAAAACGCCGAGATGGAATTGACCCAGCCCAAAGTAGTGGCATCATCCGCGGACACCCGGTGGAGGCGCCGCAGACACATTGCTAAAGGTGGGTCAAGTGAAAGAGATATACGATGTGGATGCTCTACGATCAGGTCAGTAGTTAACGGTCCAGCGAAAATGTCAGTCCGATGAAGGACTTGACGTTGAACCCCATCGAACAGACGCGACTCCACGTGCTCAACACCGTTTCGGAACACCAGCTACGCGTAGCCCAGGCGGCCGAGCTGCTGGGGGTGAGTGAACGCCATGCCTGGGCGGATCCTGGCGGCCTATCGGAGGGAAGGCGCCGCCGCACTGGCCCACAGCAACCGAGGCCGCCGACCCCGCGACGCTGTTTCTGACGATGAGGCAGCTGCGGTGGTCCAGCTGGCCAGCATCACCTACGCTGGCGCCAACCACACTCACCTCTCCGAGTTGCTGCGGGATCGGGAAGGCATTGACCTCAGCCGCCGGATCGGGCGTTGGTCCTGTGCGTGGACGAGAAGTCCCAGATCCAGGCGTTGGATCGCACCCGTCCGCTATTGCCCATGCGCCCGGGACAGTGGAGCGGCGCACCCACGATTACCTGCGCCACGGGACGGTATCTCTCTTTGCCGCCTTGCACACCGGAACCGGCAAGGTGATTGGTCGCTGCCACCAACGGCGCCGAGGCGTGGAGTTTCGCAAGTTCCTCGATACCATCGAGGCGGAGGTGCCCGCCGACCTGGACGTTCACCTGATTGTGGACAACTACGCCACCCACCAGACGGCGCTGATCCGGAATTGGCTGGCCAAGCGGCCCCGCTTCCGTTCTGCTGGACGCCGATGCGGGTTTCACCTTGGCTTCGGTTTAATACGGAACGCTACCTGACGCTGGCAACCAAGATTGACGCGGCTTCCCGCAGTCCATAAACTACACCTCTGAACTCCGTTGCGGCCGATTTCTGGTGTATCATCAGGTAAATATAGCGATAATCATCCATAATATTGCTAACTGCAACGAATCAAGCAACAAGGAGGTAGCAAAATGGCGTATGACCTGCTTATCAAGAACGGGCGCGTGGTTGACGGCTCCGGCGGGCCTGCCTTCTACGCAGATGTGGCGGTGCAAAATGGGAAAATCGTGGGAGTCGGCAAGTTCACTGAATCGGCCGCTCGCACTATCGACGCCGACGGCCGAGTAGTGGCCCCCGGGTTCATTGACCATCACACCCACTATGACCCCCAGGCGTTATGGGACCCCCTCTGCAACTATACGGTCCAGAACGGCAACACCACCGTGGTAGTTGGACAGTGCGGTCAGACGATCGCCCCGGCGCGGCCGGGGGACCAGAGAGTGGTACCTGAAGTTTTTCGCGGATGCCGAGGCCATCCCGCTGAGTTCGTTGCAGAACGGGGTGAACTTCACTTGGGGATCCATCGCGGAGTACCTTGACGCCTTGGGCCAAAGGCGGGGCGTCAACGTGGGCGCCCTGGTCGGCCACTCCGGAGTAAGACGCTACGTTATGGGTGAAGCAGCCTCGGAGCGGGCCGAGGCCACTGCTGAGGAAATCGAGTCCATGAAGCAGTTGGTCCGAGAGGGTATGCTGGCCGGCGCGCTGGGGTTCAGCACCACCCCCAAGGACCGGGATGACCCGGCCGGCGTCGCCGCTGAGGAAGAGCGATATATGCTCGGCAGCGTCCTGGGCGAGTTGGGCACCGGCCTCTTCCAGGTTAGCGGCGGCTCCCCTGAGGGCGTTTACGCGTCGCATCGTACTGCCAGGGAGCTATCCCGGAGGAACGGCCGTCCTGCCATCTACAACCTGGTGTCCCAGGAGCTGAACAACCCCGACGGATGGAAGAGAGCACCTGCAGTGGTTGGAAGACTCCTTCAGAGAGGGGATCAGGGCCTATGGCTCCTGCATATCCATCACGGCCGGTCCGATCTTCAACCTGAGGCTGGGATTGGATGTTCCCCAGGACGAAGACCTGATCAGCCCGCACATCATGTTCGCGGGTATGCCCACCTGGGACTCGGTCATGGCCCGGCCGACTCCGGAGCGTATGCGGGCTTTCCGGGACACCGAGATCCGCCGGGCGCTGAGCGCAGAGGCGGTGGAAGGCACCGTTGCCCAGGCGGCGCCGGGGACGGACCGCCGGGGCAGTCCCCGGGGATTCTTCAACCGGCGCTGGGATTTGGTAGAGGTCTTCATGGCCCACCAGGAGCGGAACCGGCAGTTCGAGGGCAAGAGCGTCGAGCAATTGGCTCAGGAGCAGGGTAAAGGGATTATGGAAGCCTTTCTGGATCTGTCCCTGGACGAAGACCTGGAGACCCACTTCCTGTGCGTTGACCGGAACGTGGACGTTGACTCCCAGAGGCAGATACTCGGCTCGCCCTACACCGTTATCGGCACCACCGACGGCGGCGCGCGCCCGGACACGATGGACCGCTACGAATACAGCACCAATCTGCTGGGCTACTGGGTACGGGAAAAGCAGATTATGTCACTGGAAGATGCCGTCTATCGGCTGACGGGCAAGACCGCCCTGATGCACGAACTCCATGACCGCGGCTTCATCGCCCCGGGCAAAGCCGCCGACCTAACCATTTTCGATGCTGACACCATCGCCTCCAAACCCCGGGAACCGGTGGATTATCCCCCGGCCGGCGCTAATGCCAAGCACGTGAGGCGGGGCGCCATCGGGATCGACTATGTGATAGTCAACGGCGAGGTTCTGCTGGAAGACGGCGAGCACACCGGAGCGCTGCCCGGCCAGGTCCTCCGGGGGCCCTTGTACCAAGGCTAACCGTTAGCCCAGAAGCGATCGGTCGGGCAAATGGCCCAACCTCGTCTCAATGGGTATTTCAGTAGGGGGCAGATTTCAAACCTGCCCCCTATTCAGGGCCGGTGCCAAGTCGCCGCTACCGTCCCCTCCGGTACGTCGGTCCCGCGCAAGAATAGGCGGCCCGGTGTCGAGTACGAGGCCGGGAATCCAGGGACTCTTTCTGAACTGAAACCAAGGTGAAACCCACATCAGCGTCGTTGGTTAGAATGGGGGCAGTTGAGTTAGTCGGTGAGCCAATCATAGTGGGGGTTGCTGTTGGGCATGGATGAGATGGGGGGCGCTGTGTCAACGCCGACGGAGATCTGACCCACGATCGCTGTCGTTGTCCAGCGATTCTGTCAGTTTAGATGGAAAGCGAATTTGACAATCCTATCGGTTGGCGGTCAGTGCGGATCAGCGTCTGGCCCCGCGGTTGTGTGGCCGGTTGGTCGGTTGAGTGAGGGCACGGGCGTACTGGCGGACCGTGTTGCGCGAGATGCCCAACTGGCGTGCGATCTCGCGCCGGGAGAAGCCCTGGATCCTAGCCAGCCGCACTGCTTTCCAGAGAGCAAGTTGTCGGGCGTCAGTTCCCGACGTGTCGGAGGTTCGGTATGGTTGTTACCGGTGGCGGCGTCCTCGGCGATGGGATCAGGCTGTCAATTTCCGAGATCATTGACCCACCCTGGAAGCATGGCGATTCGATAAGCAACCTTTTCATTGAGGCAATGCGCCCGGCAGAACTTATTCTCGTCGATCAGGAGTGGCCGAACTGTATAATCTGCAGGCAATCAGCAGATCCGATTTGCGAAGGCGCAGCCATGTCGAACTCCATCGTGCGAAGAACAGTCTGGATCACCGCCGGCGTATGGGCGGTCCTGATCCTCGCGGTGATAATCCAGTCCATGTTGGGCGTGACGGTAGCACGGCGCCAGGCCGGAAGGCAGCCGGCTGATAATCACGATGACGCTGCCGATCACGGTGGGAATATCCGTGGTCGCCCTCGGCGCGGCAATTGCCATCGGGTGGTGGCGGAGCCGCCGGCGGGCTGCCAGCGGGAACGAGTGAAATGAGTGAAGTTGCACCTGGAACTGGAGGGCGAGGTGGGCGATGGTGGTCCGGGTGCTGCGCCGCATCGGCGGAGCGGGACACGCAGACGGCGAGGTTCGGGATGGCGCGCCCTGCCTCTTAGCGGAGGAGAGAGCGTCGGCTGTGGACACTGTTTCCGGAGCCGGGGACAACGGCAACTTCGGCAGCGTTGGCGCCCGGCCACTGGACGGAGGGAGCTGGCTGCCGACTTCACGGCAGGGCCTGGACGTCGTGGCTCGGACGGTGATGTTCAAGTGTGGCGGCCGGTGCAGCTGGCATCCATCGGAACACACCTCTGCCAGAGGACGGACTGACGCCGGTGGAGTTGCGCACGTTGGTGATGAGGGATGGGCCGCGTGCTGCGGATGTTCCAGCGGGAGCGGGGCATGGCGTTTGTCGCGCCGGTGGCGGCCAACAGCCCGTTGCAGAGCTATTTCATGGACGCCGACTTTGCCGCGGTGGCGTCCGATCTGTTCGGGGAGAGGATGCCGGACCAGCGGTCCAGTGGCTTGCGGCGCCCTTGACGACTGCGTGTCATACGGCGCCTGGAAGAACCAACCGTGCATCGGTGGTTGAACACGCTGCTGCTGATTGTCGGCTGATGGGTCGGGTTGGCCTGCGGGTTGGACAACACCGACGACCGTGTGTTGCGTCGCTACGCGGTATGCCTGACGGACGCCAACACCGCTCTGTATCGCATGACCACGTCCAGCGCCAGCGGCACCGTAACGCTGAGCGCCGAGGCGATGGAGAAGCGGTTGCGTGGTCAGCTGGAGAGAGGGGAGTTCACCATGGGGAAGATCAGGGCCGACTACGCCCGCTACTGTAAATAGGAGCCGGCGGGAGTTGCGGGAAGAGCGCGGGCGAAAGTCGCTTGGGCGGGGGCAGTCCGGTATCAAAATGGTCGCCGCAAGACTGAATGCCAGGTGCGCTATGGTGGCGACGGAATCCGCCGCGTAGGGCGCGGATTGGATGGCTGGAGCGACGACCCGGGGGCGAATGATGTGGCGCATCCGTAATCGAGAGGGTCCAAAACAGGCCGACGATATCCGGCGTGAGCTTGGCGGGCGGAATCTCCGCACGGAATGGTTTACGTAATGACTATTGAGCGAAGCACGGCGGGTATCAATACCCTGGAGGACGCCGGAACGGCGCACGGACAAATCAACTCCACTGATGCGTTGCAGCGAGTCTTTCCGACGACGGTGTCCGGCTATCTCCAATTTTGTGCTTGGATCCGCCAAGAGATCTTGTACGGCCGAAGTTCAGTAACATTTGATTTGAGGCAATGCGCCGGCAGGACCAATTGTCGTTAATCAACGGGCGGCTTGGAGCTGCCCTTGGTGGCCGCCCTGGCCGCTGCGACGCCTGCCGGTGGTGGTGGTCAACCCACGGCAGGTCAGGGACTTCGCCAGGGCCACCGGAACGCTGGCCAGGACCGACGCTCTGGACGCGGGGGTCCTGGCCCATTGCGCCGACGTCGTCCGTCCTGACGTGCGCCCCCTCAAGGACGCCGAGACCCAGGTCCTCAACTCGCTGACTGCCCGCAGGCGCCAGGTGATGGCCATGCTGGTCTCCGAGAAGAACCGGCTGGGTCACCGCCATCGGCGCCGTTAGTCCCCGCATTGCAGCCCACATCGCGTGGTTGGAACAAGAGTTGAGCGACTTGGATCAGGGGCTACCTCAGACTTTGCGCCGGAGTCCAGTGTGGCGTGAGAAGGATGACCTGCTCCGCACGGTTCCCGGCGTGGGCCCGCAGCTAACGCTGACCTTGCTGGCGCATCTGCCCAGCACTGGGCACGCTGGATCGCCGGCAGATCGCCGCCCTTGTGGGCGTGGCTCCCTACAACCGCGACAGCGGCGCCCTTCGAGGCAAACGCGCCGTCCGGGGCGGACGCTCCCGGGTGCGGGCCGTCCTCTACATGGGAGCGTTGGTAGCCAGCCGCCACAATCCTGCTATTCGGGACTTCTACCAGAGGCTGCTGGCAGCTGGTAAGCCGAAAAAGGTGGCGCTCGTCGCGTCCATGCGCAAACTGCTGGTTATACTCAACGCCATGCTCAATCATGGCTCTCCGTGGTGCGATATGACTCAGCGAGTCGTCGCTCATCCCTGTTGACTTTCAAGACAGTTGCTATCGGGTGCTCCTGGTCTGAGGTCGGTTTTGTGTTTCCGAAACCATTATCCCCGAAGCACAGGAGCACTTTCTTACCCCTTCAGCACGCTGCCACACTCATCTCTTCGGCGGATTGGGGTTTAGCGGAAGTTGGGCATCACTTTTTCTGCGAACAGTTGCAGCGAGCTGGACACCTGGTCGTAGGACAGGCCCCCGGCGTCCAGGTAGCTGATGAAGTGGGTGACGTGGTTCTCTTCCAGTTCCTTGATGGCTGCCGTGACCTTCTCGGGGCTGCCGATGGCTGCCATGCCTTCCTTGCCCCGCTCGGCCACCAGATCCGGCTCGATAAAGGGGTCTTGGATGTAGTGCTCATAGCCACGCACCCCTGAGGCCCGCGCAACGTCGGAGAGCGGGCGGCGCAGGAAGTCCCCCATGTCGCCAGCCCATTGCAGGCGCGGCACGAGCAGTTCGATGGCTTCCTCGTCGGTGGGAGCCACATAAACGTTGCGGACGGCGGCGACCTCGATGTCATCGGGCGCCGTCCCCTCTTCCAGCATCCGCCGGCGGTAGAGGTTAATCAGGTTCTGGTCAGAGTCCGGCGAAGCAGGAAGAAACTGCTGCCCACGGTGAACAACCCCCAACGGTTGCGGACGGCAATCTCTACCGATTCCGGGCTGTGAGTGACCGCCATAAATATGGGCGGATGCGGCTTCTGCACCGGCTTGGGAATAACCCGCACTTCCGGGAAGCTGAAATAGTCGCCGTCGTAGGAGAAGGTGTCCTCCGTCCACGACCTGACAGCGATGTCCATGCCCTCGATGAAACGGTCGCGGGATTCGGCGATGTCCAGGCCATAGATGTCGAACTCCCGCTTCTGGTAGCCGCGGCCGGCCCCGACAATCAGGCGTCCCTGGCTGATAATGTCCAGTGTGGCCAGGTCCTGCGCCAGCCGCAGTGGAGCGTGCCACGGCACTATGGTGCAGGCCACGCCCACCTTGACCCGCTTGGTCTTGGCGGCGATGGCGGCCAGCAGGCTGTGGGGCGAGCTGATGATGCTGTGTTCGCTGAAAGCGTGCTCGGCAATCCACACCGAGTCGAAGCCCAGTTCCTCCGCCAATTCCGCGCCGCGCAGAATGTCCTCGTAGACCTCGACGTCGGTGCGGCTGACCGGGTTGGGATTGATCTTGCTCTCGTCGGCGTATTGCTCGTGCAGCAGGGGGCGCTGGCCCACGAAGAAGGCTCCGAATTTCATCCGGTTAGTCCTCCCGCTCGATCTCGGCGTACACCGCCCGCATGGAGGTGCCGGAGTCGTCCTCCACCTCGGTGAACCACTTGATCAGAGAACGTGTCAGCTGGTCGACAGACTCATCAACTGAGGCAGCCTCATAGCGCTGGCGCACAGTGGGCAGGGTTACACGAGTTTGGGCTTCGCGCATCCAGACGATCTTTTCCTTGTCGGTCATTTCCGAACCGGCCACGCGCAGCCGCTCGGCAAACATGGCGTCGTCCTTGTCCTCGGGGGCGCCGCCCAACTCACGAATGCGCCGGTCGAAGATGTCCCCGTGGCTGGTCTCGCGCTCGGCTACCAGAGAAAGGCACCCTTCAGCCCCGGATGCTCGGTCTTATCGGCCCACGCCTTGAGGAAGACTCCAGCCCGGTGCTCCTGCAGGCGAATGTCGTTGAGCAGGTCTATGTATTCTGGTTTGTCCGGCATTGCGATACCTCATTATATTGAGCATTTGGGAGGCGAAAGCGGGCGCGGCTGCCATCTTTTCATAATAAAGCACTCGCCGATGATTGTCAGGCAACGCGGTTACAGGCGAGTTTAGTGCGCCGCCCTTGGGGTGTCAAACTTGGCTGCGCCCGGCGCGTGATAAAATGCCGCCACGAAATCAGCCCGGTTTCAGGAGCAGTTTTGCCTCAATTGACTGAAGCGCAGCGCGGCATGGTCGCCACAATCAGAGAGTTTGTCCGCAGGGAAGTCCAACCTGTCGCCCAGAAAATGGAACACGCCGACGAGTACCCCTTCGAGCTGGTGGAGCGGATGAAGGAGCTGGGCTTGTTCGGCGCGGTGATCCCCGAAGAGTACGGCGGGCTTGAGCTGGATGTCACGTCCTACGCCCTGGTCATCGAGGAAATCTGCCGGGGATGGATGAGCCTGAGCGGGATACTGAACTCCCACCTCATCATGGCCTACATGATCACGACCCACGGAACAATGGAGCAGAAGGAGCGATTCCTGCCCCTGATGGCGACCGGCGAGAAGCGAGGCGGCATCTGCATCACCGAGCCCAACGCGGGCAGCGACGTCCAGGCCATCGAGACTCGCGCCGTCCGCGAAGGCGACGAATACGTGGTAAACGGGGCCAAGAGCCTGATTACCAACGGGCGCCACGGCAACACCTTCGCCCTGGTCGCCAAGACCGACCCGAACGCCGACCCGCCCCGGCGCGGCATCAGCATCTTCATCGCCGAGAAGGGGCCGGGCTTCAACGTGGTGCGGGACATACCGAAGCTGGGCTACAAGGGCGTGGATACCTGCGAGCTGTCCTTCGAGGACTACCGCGTATCCGGCGGGAATCTGGTCAGCGGCGAGGAGGGCAAGGGGTTCTACCAGATAATGAGCGGGCTGGAGCTGGGCCGCATCAATGTTGCCGCCCGCTGCCTCGGTGTGGCGCGGGCCGCGCTGGAAGAATCCACGCGATACGCCAAGCAGCGCCAAACCTTCGGCAAGCCCATCGGAGAACACCAGAGCGTGCAGATAATGCTGGCCAACATGGCGACCCAGATGCAGGCGGCCCACCTGATGGTGCTCCACGCCGCCGAGAAGAAGGACCGGGGCGAGCGCGCCGACATGGAGGCAGGAATGGCCAAGCTGTTCGCCAGCGAGATGTGTATGCAGGTCGCCATCGACGCCATGCGCATCCACGGCGGCTACGGCTACACCCAGGACCTGACGGTGGAGCGCCACTTCCGCGACGCCCCGCTGATGATGATCGGCGAGGGAACCAACGAGATTCAGCGCCTGGTCATCGCCCGCCATCTGCTCAACGACTACCCCACCGGCGACTTCCTATACGAGTCCGGGTTGTAGGCGGGCTGGATTTGGCGAGTATGTTACCCTATTTCGAACTGGTCGGGCACGACGAATAGTATTTTGAGAACCGTCGTTGTAATACTTTATGGAGGTCCTCAGCCATGGTTCAGAGCAACAACGAAACCGGCATGACCCGCGCCCTAGGCAGCTTCGCGCAGGCGCTCGAGTACGAGGATCTGTCGCCTGAGGTGGTCGACTGGGCCAAGTACCTGTGCCTGGACTTCGCCGCAGTTACGCTCAACGGCTCCACCACCGGCTCGGCGCACGCTGTCGTTGATGCGCTGCAGCGGCTGGACCGCTCCGGGCCGTCGGTGGTCGTCGGTACGCCCTATCGAGTGCTGCCGGAGTACGCTTCGATGGCCAACGGCATCGCCTTTCACAGCATAGAGATGGACGACGTGAACAACGAGGCGTCGCTGCATCCGGGCGTGGTGGCCTTTCCCACCGCCCTTTCGATGGCCGACCTGGCCCATGTGTCGGGCAAGGACTTCATCGCCGCAGTGGTTGCGGGGTACGACGTCATCGTGCGGCTGGGCCGCGCGTTGCAGCCTGCCGAGCATTACGGGCGAGGCTTCCATCCCACCGGCACCTGCGGGGCTTTCGGCGCTGCGGTGGTGGCCGGGCGGCTGCTGGGGCTGCAGGGCGACGACTTCATCCACGCCCTGGGCATCGCGGGCAGCCAGACCGCCGGCAGCATGGAATACCTGGCGCAGGGAGCCTGGACCAAGCGATTCCATCCCGGCTGGGCGTCGCACAGCGGTTCCTGGGCGGCCCTGCTGGCCCGCTCCGGTTACACCGGCCCCACCACCATCCTCGAGGGGCGCGACGGCTTCCTGCAAGCCTATTCCGGCAATCCCGACATGTCGCTGGTGCTGGAAGACCTGGGGGACGAATATCTGATTACCCGCACGGGAATCAAGCCCCATGCTTGCTGCCGTTACAAGCAGGGACCCATAGACTGCCTGATAGACATCCGCAACACCCATGGTCTGGAGGCCGATGACGTCGAGGAAGTGACCGTCGGAGTACTCAGCGGCGGTTTCAAGCTGGTAGCGTCTCCAGAAGAGGCCAAGGCCAACCCCAAGACAGTCGTGGATATGCAGTTCTCCATGCCCTTCGGCGCGGCGGTAGCCTTGGCCTATGGCCGCGCGTCGCTGGAGGAATACGCCGACGGGGTGCCTGACCGCCCGGAGATAAGCCGCATCCTGCCGCGGGTGAAGTGTGTGACCGACTCGGAGTTGGACGCCCACTTCCCCCGCGAGTTTCGCGCCTGGGCTGAAGTCTCCACCGCCGACGGACGCCGCCTGCGCAGCGACATCCGATACCCCAAGGGCGACCCGGAGAATGCCCTGTCGTGGGCCGAAATGAAAGAGAAGTTCGCCGTCCTTACCGCAACGGTCATCAGCCCGGAACGCCAGCAACAAATCATCGCCGCCATAGAATCGCTGGACGAAATGGAGGACGTGCGAGAGCTGGCAGCCCTCCTGTCCACGGAATAGGCCACCAAGCAGTGAAGATGGGCAAGAGAATATGACCCCTCCGTTGCAGGGTGTCCGCATCCTCGAAATGTCGCAGGCTATCGCCGGGCCGGTGGCGGCGCGGACGCTGGGCGACCTGGGTGCTGAGATAATCAAGATCGAGGAGCCCGGCGTGGGGGATATGTCACGGCGCATCGGCCCCCACTTCCTCGGCGGCGAGAGCGCCTATTACCTGAACTTCAACCGCAACAAGAAGAGCGTAACCATAGACCTGCGAACGCCGGAGGGCCGGGAAGTCTGCCGCCGGCTCGTAGCCGTGTCCGACGTGGTGTTCGACGCATTCCGGCCTTCGGTGCTGGAGCGCCTGGGACTGGACTACGAATCGTTGAAGGCAATCAACCCGTCCATCATCGCCTGCTCGCTGTCGGCCTTCGGGCAAGAGGGGCCGTACCGTGAGCGGCCCGGCTTCGACGGCATCGTGCAGGCCATGGGCGGCGGGATGAGCGTCACCGGCAACCCCGGCCAGCCGCCGGTGTTCATGGGCTTTCCGGTGGGCGACATGGTCGGCGGCTACGTGGCCGCCCTAAGCATCGCCTCCGCGTTGTACGGGCGGCTGTTCACCGGCGAGGGGCGCCGCCTGGACATCTCCCTGCTGGACGTTCAGATTGCCCTGCAAGCCCACCTGGGGCAGTTCTACCTCGTGTCCGGCGAGGTGCCGCAGCCCATCGGCTCCGGCCATCCATCCAACCTGCCCGTGGGCGCCTACCAATGCTCCGACGGCAAATACGTGCAGGTTCACTGCGCCAGCCAGGAATTCGCCATGAAGACCCTGCGCATGATGGCCGGCGAAATCGAAGCGCTGCGGGGCATGGATGAAGACCTACGCTTCACCACCTCCCCCTCCCGCATCGAGAACCGCGATGCGCTCGAAGAAGCCCTGACCGCAGGCTTTATGACAAAGCCGCGCCCCGAGTGGGAGCAACTGCTGCTGAAGTATGATGTGCCCGGCGGCCCTGTCAACAACATTGGCGAGGCCCTGGCCGACCCGCAGGTGCAGCTACGCGACATGGTGGTGGAAATCAACCATCCAGTCGCCGGCGCCTACCGCACCGCCGGCAACCCCATCAAGACCGGCAGCCCCGATAACTTCGCGCCGCCGCCAACCCTGGGCCAGGATACCGAAACCGTCCTGACCGGGCTACTGGGATATAGCGGCGCGGAAGTGGCGGCGCTGCGCGAAGCGGGAGCGGTTTAAGTGATAGTGTGACAAACAACCCCGCGATGAGAATCATCACAATTGCCGGGCCCAATGGGGCCGGCAAAACCACCCTCGCTATGGAGCTTCTGCCCAACGAGGCGGAATGCCCCACCTTCATAAACGCCGATCTCCTCGCCGCCGGTCTGAATCCGTTTCAATCTGATTTTGTAGGGTAGATATGTGGGAGCTTACTACGAGCATCTTGGGTGGAAAACCGCCAGTCTATGACTGATTTTGCTTCGTTGCGCTCGCTTTCGAGCGCCGCAACCTCTCGCCGCAGCTCCGGCTCATCGCTGATACGGCGGTTCAGACACGCTCTGCTGAAGACGCTCAACTCGATCTCAGCCATATTCAGCCAGCTGCCATGAGTGGGAGTGTAATGAAACTCCAGCCGTTTAGCGATGCGCCGGGCTTCGGATGGCTCAAATGCTTCGTAGAGCGAGCCGGGCTTGTGGGTGTTGAGGTTGTCCATCACCAGCCGTGACAACCTGGGCATCAGGGTATGCCTCGTCCACCAGCCACCGCATCTGGTGCGCGAAGTCCACGGCAGTGCGGCGCCCCGGTCACTGCGACATGTCTCCACCCGGCCTTCGGCTCGCAGATCATGAACAGGTTCCGGGTCCCGTTTCGCTGGTACTCAGTGTCATAGCGTTCCACCCGTCCAGGAACGGCCTTGATGGGCGGACGCACCTCCCCGGTCAATTGCCTGGAGGTCTCGTCGAAACACACTACCGGACGCTCCGGGTCGTACTCCTGGTGGTACAAGTCCAGCACATCCTCCATCCGCGCCACGAACTCCCCGCTCACCTTGGGGATGCACCACTCTTTCTTCTTCCAGGGCTTGGGTTCATTTTTTTGAGTATCTGGCGCACCGTCTTCAGGGAGATGCTCTCGGCAAACTCCAACTCCACCACCTTGCCGGCCAGCAACTGGAGCGTCCAGTGCGCGTGTCCTGCGGGCGCTGCGCTGCACGCGAAGGCGATCAGGTGCGCTTCCTGCTTGCCGTCCAGCTTGCGCTCCCGGCCCGGCCGCGGTCAGTCATTGATGGCAGTCTCAAGTCCTTCCTCCACGTACCGCTTCCGCGCTCTGTCAACGGTAGCGGCGCTGATCAAAAGCACATCGGCTATCTCACGGTCCCCAAGCCCTTCGTCAGCTTTGAGCAGCGCGAGCGCCCGCTTGACGGTGCGGACTGACGGCTTGACCCGGTGGGAAACCTCATTGAGACAGGTCCGTTTGGACTCGGTCAGTTTGACTTTATACTTGAAGGCAGCCATGGCTGGGAGCTTCCTCGCAGAAAGATCATACCCAAGCATGGCTGCCTTCTCATATTCTTACAAATCTATCTGGGAACGGTACTAGGTGCTCGATTGGCATGAGGTGACGTTGGCGGTTGTGGACGGTCGCCTCGCCTACTCCTGGCATTTATACCTATGGTTATCAACCGGCTGGCGGCAGACCATCTCGTCCGATCGATCATTGTTCAAACTGGCGTACAAGTAACAACTCGCTCCAAGCCTGTGGAATCACCAGGATGACATGGCAGATTGCAAACTGATGCAGGCAGTCGAGGCCTACTTTAACGACCTGCGGATAGTGAGAGTGTCGGGTGATGCCACCAACGAGCGGTCGCTGTACGTGCCGCTGGCCAACTTACTGAACGCGGTGGGCGGCACACTGAGACCAAAGGTGTTTTGCGTTCAGGAACTGGCCGATCAGGATGCCGGTCATCCCGACTACGGTCTCTATGCGAACCGGCCGAGTGCCGAAAAGGAAGCCGCGGGTTGAGTAGAACTTGAACGCGGACTGGTTGGTAGCATAATCGCGTTTACGTAATGACCCTTGGGCGAATCAGATGGGGTATCAATAAGACGGCGGACGCAAGTATGATTGATGTGTAAACCAAATTCGCCAGGGCGTCGCGGCGGGCTTTCTCGACGATGCTGGCCAAGCTCTCCATTCGCATTTCGTGGCAAGGTTCGCCAGGAGACTTTGTGCGACCGAATTTCGATAACCTTTCTGAGTGACGTAACAGGAGTCGGCAGGAATAGTTGACGCGGGACAACTGCTGCAGAAGGCTAACTATCACCGTCCTGCGAATGTAGATTCCTCTTCGGTTTCAGTTTAGTTTGCCCCAGCATGATACTACTAGAGGTCTGGCCGGGAAAGCCATTGGTCGGGTTTTGCACTACTCCAAGCAGACGTATTACAGTCGTACTCGGCATTATAGTGTATCCAATACGTTTCAAGAACCCATCATTACATCGGTAATCGACGTCAAGAAAATAACGGCTTGTGGAGAATCGGGGTTCCCGGCCAGCTTTCTAGCCGATGTCGTGCTGGAATACTCTGAGGGACCAATGAGCGATATTGAGCGGTGGATACCCAGTTCACTACCGGCTCGCGCCAATACACCAGGGGCCGTGGGAATGACACCACGGCCCCTTACTGAAACAAAGAGGACGTTACCGTAACGTGGGTCTCTAATCAGTCCAGGTTACAGTAATCGGGTCCGACTTGACGGTATCGTCCAGTTGGATGATGTAGATGGACGACCGGTAGGTCCTCGAAACCCGGGCTGTCGAACGTCCTCCGGAAACGAGCTGACCCTGGCTTGTCCACCACTTCACGCCACTCGCCGTTGCCGAACCTCCGCTCCCAGGTTCCTCGGTAGTTGAGAGGTGGGTGGCTACGTTCCAAGTTGCTGGTGAGCACCACCTGGGTTCCCACCGGCACCACGTTGTCGTCGTCATTCGAGGTGATTATTGCATAGGGCCAGATCTCGTCGGTGGCGGTTGCAGTAACGCGGTCCGACGTGTAGGTGACGCCGTTACCCTCGCTATCAGGGCAGGTTACCTCCACGTAATATGTTCGTGGTTCCGCCTGGAAGAACATCTCGGTTATCGTATCCGAGCTGGCGCCCTCGACGGACGACCCAGCGCCATCGACACCAACCTGGTACCAGGCGTAAGCCCGAATCCACCGATGGACACGGACTGAGGGGAGTGAGAACACAGGAAGGGGGTGTGAGGAAATTACAAACGCGATGGCCCGGGCTCGAATTCGGGTAGACGGGGGGTTGGCGGCGGTCTGCAGGCGTTTTTGGGGGCGACGATGTCGGCCTACAGTGGTTGTTGCGAGCGAGATGGCGGGATAAGACGCAGCAAGAGATGCTCGCGGACCGAGCTGGTGCGAGTTTGCGGGGACGTTCAGTTGGCCGGATGGCGGGTCAGTGGCGGTCGTGCGCCGTCAGGAGGGGAGAGGCAGCGCTCGGAATCTAGCGAGGGCGCCACTGAACTGGGCTTCCCAGGGCCAACGCTGGGGCAGATGCAAAGTGAGGCGGCGCGCCGAGCGGGTGAGCCTTCCGGCCATGGAAAAGAAGCGGCGTCGCAGGGTCTTGGTGGTCACGATCTGCTCGCCCAGACCGATGCGCGCCGTCCAGCGTGCCAGGTTGTGGGCGATCACCTGCACCGCCAGCCAGGCCCCCTTCGGCATGCTCAGGATTGGCGGGGAAGCGGCCCGAGGGGAGATGGTTGAGCCCCACGCCGTACTTGAGGTCTCGGATGGCGTTCTCGATCTCGGCGTGGCGCCGATGGTCGGCCTCCAGTTCCAGGGTTTCCCCCTCCCGGTCGGTGATGAAGCCGTGATAGCTGTAGGTGGCGAAGAGGGCCAACTGGGAACCGGGCGTGGGCTTCACGCGCCGGACGATGAGCCGCACCGGCGCGGCGTCGGGCTTGCTCTGGAAGGGAGTGTAGCTGGTTTCGGC